ATGAAAAGTTGTTTTGAAATAAAACTTTGAATTCTTCATTTCAATTTTAACTTAACTTGGCATGTTTCTGCAGAATTCTTTGATTTCATTGAACTGGCATTTTCAAACAAAAAACAGTTCTGGCACAAAAGTTTGGACCAACTCTAGTGAGAACCCAGCTTGTTTTGTTTTTGGAGTACATGGGATGGTAGCCATGTTTTGATCATATTCTTGACTCACGCTTTAGTCTGGAAAGAGCTGCTTTCCAAAGCCTCTGCAGCATTGGCAAAAGCTTCTCCCCCAAATCCATAGGGCAGACTGAGCGTCAGTGTGGACAAGGCCAGAAGGACAGGTTAAAACCATTTTTTAAAAAAGAGAAGTTTAAACAAAAATTAGGCTTCTTCCCTGTTCTTTTGGGAACTGGGATTGTTTTCAAGATGTTTCTGGGTTCAATCATTTTCTGTCGCAATGTTCTTCATGGGCCTAAAATTCTGCACTTCAATATGGAAAATGTAGAAATAACTAAAAGTGTCTTTCTGTGGCTGGGAAAGGGGCCTGTTTGCTATTTGCTACCTCCCAAGTGGATTTGGAAATCAAAGGGGGACACTGTGATTAGATTAAAGCACCAGAGTGACACCAACTCTGAATTTGCTTTGAACTTTGAAAGTCTCCCAGGCTGAAGTGCTGTTCAAAGACCATTCCCCTGCAGAAGTAACTATGGGGGAGGGTTAAATTACCACCTCTCTTCTCATCCCTCATCTTCTTTAGCCAGACACACACAGAGCTCAGATTTCAGCAGTTTCTTTTCTCACTGACACTCTGGGCTGGGGAGGGGTGAGTGGAACACTACAGAGCTGGGGTAGATGGGGGGAGAGCCAGGAAGGAGCTGAAAAGCATAGCTATAGGAAGAAATGTTGCCAGTATCCTTTACCAGTACATATCGAGTTAGAAAAATATGCTAACCCACTTGACGGCTCATTCCTGAGTCTGAGGGGACTTGTGTTAGAAGATGGAGAAGATAAGACCACTGTAATCTTTACACAAACTAAAAGGCAAGGCTCAGAAATCTCACCCTGGATCTAGCACAGTGCAGACCTGCTGGTCTTAGCTTGGGGAGGCCTTGTGTTTATTGGTCAATGGGGTTTTAACCCCAGTGTCACCTAGCCATGCTCAGAGCAGATCTAGCTAGCACAAGGGTGCAAACTCAAGTGCCTCTTCTGCCCTAGTGTTCCTGCCATTTTTGGCTCTGAGGCAGTTATACCAGTGCTTGGGCAATGCTGGGAGAATCCACGAATGGATAGATTGTCTTTCTATGGACAAGGCATACATTAATGTTGCCTCAAGGTCTAGACCAGCATCTGATCACTCCATTTTTATTTCCTTTGATTTATAAGATATTATTTGTAACCATCAGTGTTAATCAGCAATACAGGCAGTCCCCGGGTTACGTACAAGATAGGGACTGTAGGTTTGTTCTTAAGTTGAATCTGTATGTAAGTCGGAACTGGCGTCCCGATTCAGCCGCTGCTGAAACTGACCGCCAGTTCTGATTTACATACAGATTCAACTTCAGAACCCCAAGTCAGC